ACGACGACCCTCCCGGATGAAACCTAGGCCCATGTCTGCGAGCTCACGCAGCAGGTCCATTCGAGCCTCAAGATGCATGGACCCTTTTAAATTGGACAGGTGTGCGCCAACATCCGTCAATGTGATGGGGTCTTTGGTGCGCGAAGACAAGAGCCTGGCAGGTAAGGAGCGTGGCTCCCGATTTGGAGGTGGGCTGGCGCCGCGGCACTGAGCGCGCCCCGCACACCGAGCAGCAACCTCCCAATCCAGAACATTGCAGTCATGAACGACGCGCAAGTCGAAGTGGCGAATGGCACACTTGAGGGCATGATCAGGCAAGCCGAATGTGGAACATTGCGAAGAAGCGAAATCTTGGAATGAAGTGAGCAAAGCAGCGGTCGGGACGTGATACTCCATTTTGCCAAGCGCAGCTCTGCCAGCCGAACCCCACCCGCCGCTCTCTTCCAATTCGTGAAGTTCATGGTAGAACTTTCGAACAGCAATCTGGGCCGCCGTGGAAGGTGCAAAGTGTCTAGGTGGAATCTGCGTGGGGCCCCAATGAGTGGCAACATGAAGCCAGTTGGCCTGCAAGAACGGATGAACGACGGACGAATCCAACAAATCCGTCTCTGGGTCAACAATCGCACGGCCTGCGGCAGTCATCAGAATCCGCGCGCCAAAGCCACACTGATGCAAATGTTCAACTTTGGCCCACCACCTTCTAAAGAGAGAAAACTGTTGAAACAAGCAAATGTTGACGTTGGTGGAGCCGAAAACAAGAGGCACTGGCTGGTCAGCAGGCAATGCGGCCACCTGGTTTGCAGCTGGGCGAGGGCGGGATGACGCCTTCTCTTCAGCGCCTGTGCCCCATTCACATTTGCCGCCGTTGGCGCACTCCAGCCACCGTGTCAAATCAAGGTATTTTGCAACGTCGACCGTCTCTTTAGTTGGGAAAGACGGATCAAGGATGGGCTTCGCCTCTGGACCCCAAAGTAACAACACACCATCGAGGCGCCTCAAACGCTCTTGTATCTTTCCATTGTTCCCCACACCGATGAAGTGGTCAGCGTGGTAGAAGCACGATGTTCGGCGACTGTGCGCTCAAAGAGTTTGGTGATAGCAGCGCACGCAGGAGACTCGCCGGCATTGAGGTCCCCAGTTGGGCAAGCCCACCAACGGGCCCTGCATGTGAAGTGCGCCGACCGGTCAGCATAGAGTGCTATGGACAAGTCTTTATGCTGACAGGAAGCTAGACAAGCCTGTCGAAGACAAATATGGCTGGAAGCCCACAGCCACGATGCAGGAACTCACACGCTACGGCCATGCGCAAAGTGGTTGTGTAACCCAGGCGCCTGGGGAGCTTGGCTGCATGCTCAACTGACAGCCTTTGGGTTTTGATGAGACGCAGGTTGTCGAGAGAATGCTGCGCGACTTCATCCAAAGAATGGTGCAGAGTGTATTGGGAATACATGGGAACAGAAGTCCAAAAGTTCCCATCCTGCGCAGCTAGACCAGCCGAATTCGCCAATATGCTGAAGTAATGCTCGACCTCAGCTTGTGGATCAGCAGCAAAACAAGGCAAACCAACGGAGGCAGGCACTCCAGAGAGGTCAATTGGCGCCACACAATCAGAAGGGGTGGTACGCAAAGCTGCCGCTGCAGAAGAGTCATTGACTGAAGCAGGCCAAATCACACGCGCAGGCGGAGAGCGGGATCTCGATGCTTGCGAACCAGAAACATGGACACGGCCCCGAGGGGGAGAGCACGACAAACGGCAACCGTGTGCAATTGCACGTGGCAAGTTGCCTGGGTGCGCAGCGGCTGCTTGCGTAGCCATGTCCAGGGAAATTCGAATGGGACACTCCGCCTGAATGCGACCGACAAAATCATCGAGGATGTGGTCATCCAAGTCAATGCAACACGGACTGCTCCTGAGCGCTGCAAAAGAACTGGCTCCCGTCATAGAGGGGACCTTCCTAGCACGCTTGGAATAGTGGCGCGCGAAGCGGCATTGGCAAACAGTGTGCAGCCCATGGCAATAGCACCTGTGCGATGGAAAGTCCACGACCCAAGCGCTTGACGATGCGTGCAGGTCGCCGTCGGAAAAGTCACGGATGGGATCGTCTGACACGGCACGAGAGAAAGAATCATTGGCAGCAAATTCCAAACTCAATGCGTTGTTGACAATTGTGACTTGGACATCATCGGTCTTGCTGTCGGTTCTTGCCCCTGCTGGCCTCTTGCGACAGCGGCGTGCGAGCACGCAGTGGCAGACCCCGCTTAGACCATGGCAAAAGCACCCTGGGCCCTCTGACGGCAGGGTCCTTGCTGAGGCACGTGCCTCCTCATCGGAGAAGTCGCTGATGGGATCTTTCGAGCAGGCATGGGACAAAGAACGGGCGGCAGCAAAGTCCAAAGCCAAACTCTTCGTAATTGTTGCCCCAGCATGATCCGAACTAGCCGGTGAGTCCAGCAAAGTGCCTGCTGGGGATGTTGGGCTTCGGCACGCTGTTGGTTCATACATGTCAAAAGGCAAGGTTGGAGAAACAAATGCCTCGGAAGGCAGACCCCGGTGTAGGCAGGCATCTGGCTGTTCAATGCTTTGGAAACCAAGGGGCGTGGACTGCGATCAAAGCAAACCACTGCACAAACTTCGCAATCTGGGTCTGAACATGGCTCGGCTGGGGGCGGTGTGCGACTGGTGCTTTGGGCCGACTTATCGCCACCAACAGACAAGCCGCTACCATGACAAGGACGTGCGCACACCCTGCAATCAGGATCCGAACACAATCCGGAAAAACTCTGATCAGATAAAGGAACTTCACTGGCATCTCGCTGTTCGAGGCTTCGAGGACTGCGATCAAAGCAAACGAAGGCGCAAACCGTGCAATTCGGGTCTGAACATGGCTCGGGCAACGCAGGAGTACCCGCATTGGAACCCAAGTGTTCATCAACACACGACAAGCCTCGACCGCTCATAGGATTGGAACTCATCAGACCACCGCGCCCCAACGCCTGATTGGTGCAAGTGTTGTGGCAAGAGGCCCGCTTCGGTGCGAACACATCACCGGAACAATGCTGGAAATGGCCCACATCAGAATGTGTACTCCGTGTGAAAACCATGCAAGGACTCTGTGGAAAGACCGAGACCCATCGAACAGCTTGCTGCAGCGAAATGTAGCAGGGCGAGGACCCAGGCAAGAACAAAAAAGCCCCCCTTTGCAGGGTCATGGAAAACAAGAAGACCAGTAGGGTAATAGTCTTTCAAAGCACCCACAATGACTGCGATCTGCTCCGTGGAGGTGGCAGGACTCAGCAGTGACAAGCAAGTTTGGGTGTCATATCCAAGTTGAAGGAGCCCTCCGTCCTTCCTTCCTTCCTTCCTTCCTTGCGGAGCCCTGAAAAGAAAAAACATATCCCACCCCCCCCAAAAAAAAATATCCCACGGAAATATGCCCTCCAACCTCCCAAAAACAATCACAGGGAACCCAGGGTTTGGCTTGGATGTCAAGAAGGACTCTTTCCACTTACAGTCTCTGCCCAGCATCTTGTTGCTCACCGGAGATGGACGACATACCACACTCCTGGGCTCACATTCGTCGGGCTGCCTCTCCTATTCTCTCAGCTCCTCTTTCCCAACCCACCCGGTGATCCTTCCGGAGTGCACCGGGAGATGGACCTGGCTGGGTGCACTGGTCGATGTTTCGAACAGGCCCGGGTTCAAACGGGCTCGGTCTGCAAGCGGGCGGTCGGTCTCCCTATTTGGATATATATATATATATATATACACACCCATCATTCCGAAGCCTCATGTCCTCCTCCACCCTGCACGCTTGGCTTATCGCTCCTCCTGGATCGCCAGCGCCAGGCGCGCCAGCGCGTCGCCGTTCCCGTCGCCGTCCTCCGCGGGCGACGGGAACGCGGCGTCCTCGCGGTTCAGGTGCTGAAGGACCGGCGCTAAGAAGGTCAAGACCTCGGAGCTTTGCGTCGGCCATCGTCGTGAAGGTCGTGAAGATGGTCAGGTGAGCTATACGACTCGAAAAAGGAACCATAAGGACTCCCAAAAGTTCAGAATCCGGGGTCGATGGAAGCTGTGTAGGTGTTCTCTTCCTAGAAGAAAATGGGCTAGTTTGAGAAATTCTGCGAAGAGTGCAAACGCACTGCCAAAGCCTTGGCTTGCACTCGAATTCCTCCTCATTTCAAGGTCGTTTCCTCGATCAATTCAGCCAATGGCTGTGGATCGTGGTGCCCCAGAACTGGTCTATGATATGAATGGACGCTTTTTCACCAAACGGACGCTCTAGCTCTCCCATGACGGGTGTTGCAACCCCAAGTGGGGTATGGGTCTGCACATGTCCGGTGGAGCCAAGGCTGGTCACAACCATATACCGTATATTATGTCTATCTATCTACACCCGAACCATCCATTTATGCCATAGTTTCTTACATTTTGGGTCACAACATGTCATATATCGGGTAAATGCATGCAACTATTCCAGTCCCATGGATGGTCTGGGCTACATCCCTGATACACCAAGGCTCTCATCCGTCTCATCAAGTGTTTTTTCACCCTAAGGTGCCAGAAGCCCTACTGTTCGGGGAAGTGGCAGGACATGGGTCCCCCCAACTGACGAACTGACGGTCTATGACCGTCTGAAAAATCTCCTGCATGGTGGGAAAACACCACTCCTTCATTGCGCCAATCGACCCAAAAACGCGTGAAAAACGCATAAAAACGCGTGATACCCCGGCAAATCTCCCGCATCAAATCTCCTGGGCTTGATCCACTTGATCTGAGAAACATCTTTGTGCCCAGATGAGGCCGAGTCCTTCGCAAAGTTCAAGAGGCTCCACCATCTGAGCACCGGCTCACCGGCCAGCGGATGAGAAGGGAACATCGGGTGGAAAACCCCGCGGTGTTGAGGTGCATCTCTTCCATTCACGTCCCAGGCCCTAGGCATCTTTACTGCGCGTGGAAAAACCTGCCACTTAGATGAAGCCAAAAAGTTTTGGCTGTGCAACTTTGATGGAGAATAGGCCGACAAGCACTGAATAGTCTGGGGTCCGCATGTCCAAGTTACTGAAACACATCTAAGCAGTGTTCATGGACTGTCCAGGATGTGACGTGCATCTGAAGAAATTGCATCAGGGTGGAACAAACAAACTTGCTCTGTGATATCAAGGAGTTGCTTGCTTGGTTGGTGACTTGCTTGATTGGTTCGGTGGGTCGCTCTCCTGACTTCCTCCCCTGTTATGTTCATGGACATCACTTCCACAGCCCCTGGGACTTCACCAGCCCAGGCACCGAGGATCACTGATACTTGCCAGCGCCTGCAAGAGCGCGTTGAACCAGCACCACTGCCTGGTGCTGAGTGGCACTTCTTCTCCACCCGCAGGTTGCCAGGTTTGGTGCCGATGAAGAGCGCCAGGATGAGAAATGCAAGGTGCTAATCAAAAGACTGGGAAGTCCCATACATTGCCCCCTCCTTGCCCAACACATCAAACCATTCTCGCAACCAAAACTCACATCACCCACGTACCACGCCAGCAGACATGCTGCTGCTGGAGTTTCTCTCAAAAAATGCTCACCAACGGCCATCAGGAACCCCGCCAGCACAAGGCTTCCTAAGCCAAACCAGGGCATTTGCAGCAAAGGTGTTTGTGTCGCCCTTTGGCTGAATGAACATCATCAAACCTGACCCCCCTCACTCAGGTGTGGTTCAAGACAATGACGCGGGGAATCATAGAGAGGTCGGTGCCAGGTATCCTTTGCTTATTGGTAGTTCACGACCATGAATCCCTCGTCTATTCATCCACCAACCCAGGCCATCAATGGGCCTTTGATGGGTCAAAACACGTCCCAGACCTGGAGATTGAGGTCCAGTGACCTGAGTTCCAGAGAAACCTTCTCACGTTCGGTACCCCAGGACCCACCTGGCACGCAAGCACCAAGGGTCAACGGAGGGTACGACCGGAGCCCAAGGGTGAATGGTACTCTGACTCTGACTCTTACTCTTGTGGGATGTGAAAATTACACGTCAATTTGACGCCAACAAGTTACGGGCGCTCTTGACTGCCTGGGTTGTGGAGTCGCAGACGGACAAGGAGGGCCATGGGCATACCCACTGTAAAATCAAGTCTTATGACGTTGAAGATATGTCCCATGATCAGGGATCATGAGATCATGTGATATTGGTGTTTATGTGGAGTCACCACCTGTCTGTAGCCCTAGGGCTCCAAGTACTATACCGTAATGTAGACTCTTGATTAATACACCCCCCATATGAAGAGGATGTTCAATTCAAATGGCTGGGGTTATTAATCAAGAGTCTACATTGTACAGTACCTCCTTACAAAATGTTTGGACCCTCTAAACCCACCCCAGTCCAACCTTCGAAAACGAAGGTACGACCGGAGCCCTCGGGTATATATTCGGATATCATGGTCATCCAAAATCGGGGCCTAATGCCATTCATGTAACCATGATTCTTTCAGGGAGTGCATCACGTCCACCAAGCTGCCCTGGGTTCTGAAAGGCTCGAGGCAACCTATCCATGCCATAGCTGTTCGCGCAGTCCGGCGCTGCGATCGCGCCGGGACATCCAGAAGCAAACTAGGGGGGTGGTCCAGAAGAATATCAGGTATCAGTGGTTGAAGGCCATGACCAACAAAACACAAAGCTGCTCAACCGCTTGCAGGAACTCCAAGCAATCATGGCAACTCCAATGGTTTGGAGAAGCTCCTACACCCCTCGCCCATGGTGGATTTCATTTGGGATTCCTCTATCTTGTCCATCTATCTTTGGTACAAGCAGCAAAGCCATGTGAGCTATATATGTACTGGATACAGCTATGGAAGAGGAGGTGAATCATTCAAGTCCATATGTCCTTGTACCTATGATGCATGACGGCAGTCCCCCAAATATCAGAGACTCGGATGAGATATGGTCTGCTAAGTCTGCTAGAATTCCCCCCAAGTCTGATCAATGAAGAATGTGGCAGATGCTGAGGATATGAAGATTAGCACTGCAACTGACAGATTTTGCTAGAGACGAACGGGCAACCTGTGCAACCCGGAGCAGTGCAACCGGGAGGAGCAGTGCATCTTGAACGCTCCGTCTTGATGTACCAAGCTTGAGCTTTGAAGCAACAGACTGCGGAACATGGGCGTTTCTGGAGGTCACTGAGATGTCTGACACATCTGACACCAATTCAAGCTCCTTTCGCCTCTCCCTGAAGGAAGGCCGTGTGGTCTGAACCGAGAACATCGAATCCAGAAAGTCTTGTGCCGCTTGAACCGTCCCCACCCTCATCCCCGACGCCTGTTCGCATCGCATCCGTTTAGGGGAATGCTAACGGTCGGACACCGACCCGAGACCAACCCTCCCCAGACACGACCTGTCTGGGACTGCCATAGGACTGCCACACAAAGACTCTTCTGGCACCACCTCTGGCTTGATCGGCAGTCCTATGGCAGTCCCATGGAGTTTCTTCAACCCTCTGAAAAGTCGTCTTTTCTCGAAGGCATCCAAGTCGTTGGATCAGAGCCGCCGCCTCCACGAGAACCGAGGGAGAAGAACGTGGGAGAGAACCTCTGGAATGGAGGTGTGATGAAAATCTCAGTCTGTTGATCAACTGGAATTTGAATCAACAAGGGGCTTTTGTTCTACAAGTTTAAGATTTGGGTGAGAGAAAGCTGCTCACTGGCACTTCCCATACCCTTCATCCAATCCAAAAGAAACAGACTGCTGATCAACCTGGGCAAAGTCGCATCCACCTTCAAAGGATGTCCAGATTCTGTGTCACCACTCGAATTGCGGGACGTTCGGGCCATCAAAAATACGATCGGGGCATTGATTCAGCAACTCGAACCCGAGTCAAACCCTACCCCTAGACTTCCAAGACCATTAACGATATCCTTAGTTGATTTGGTAAAGCCTGGTAAATTAATGGTGGTTGGAAGCCTAGGGCTACCCCACCAAAAAGAAATGCGTGAAACCAACTTTTCGGCCCACTCAACATGAGCCTGAGCCCTTCGTCGCCTATCAAAGAATTCCGGACGGTGAGACTGATGCTGAAGCTGCTTAGCACCCAGTCAACATGAAGTCGTCAGCCGAAGTCGTCAGCCCAAAGAGGTCAGCCGGCTGCATTTGGCACAGAAAAGGCCTGCTGCCAAGACCAACCATAAAGCGGCTCCAAAGAGCCAGTTGAAGCCCCAAAGGTTGCCTTGGATCTGAGATGTAAAGCCGACTCACACCAGTGGTCCGACTCAAAAATACACTCAGTGGCCGACCCAAATAATGCAAAAAAGCATCTGTGGCAAAGCCTTCTGTAAATCATCCCTTTTTGGGGGGGAATTGAGCCGTTCGAGCCTTGAAATCCAATATGATGATTTACTGAAAGATCATGTTTGACCCGTATGGCCGTGTGGTCACCAAATATAGTCACCAAATATCACATATCTGACATATCTTAATCACGGCTATGGCGGGTTCAAACCCGGGGCACTTGGTTGACCACAGATTTTTTACACAGAATGGACTACTGGGGCCACTGAGGAGGTCAACCTGCCAGTTTTTAGGGCTCCGGGTTTTGGCCCACAGCCATATGTGTCTGGATGGTCCATGTGTTACTTCATCACTTCATCTGTCAACAACGTCCCCCGAAGTTCAGCATCCATGTTGCCAGGTTTTTCCGTCAAATAGACGACAGCATGCAAAAGACCTTCCCAGGCCACTACTGCCGCGATCAGCGGCAAAGATAGCACCACAGCAGCCTTGAGCTGGGACATCCACTTCAGGAGCCGAACCCCTATAGTGCCAAGAATAAAGAAGGACCAAACCGCCATGGAATATGCCAAGACAACTCTGAACCATTGCATGTAGAATTCCGTGAAGCAGTGCCAAGCCACTACATCTGCAGGTAAGAAAGGCATGAGCAAAGGAACATCTCTTACCATTGTCACGGCATCGCACAGCTTTGGGGCGATTGCACTCAACATCCTGACGAACGAAGTTTTGCGGTCCGCTCGTGCGAACGATCAAATCACCAGCAAAGCCTTCGGCAAGACCGAGGTGGGATCTGACCGCGATCAAAGCAGCTTTAGATGAGTCTTCCCTAAAGAAAAAACACAAACAGAGAGGCGTTGGGGCAGAAAAAATAGAAAGAATACCTGCTAGAAACCATCCCAGCATCAATAAAAAGATAGTGCGTCGCGGCAACACGGCACTATCAAGGCGATGCAAGATCCATCGCTTTAGCTGTTTGTGAATGGCATGGTTCAATCGCTCGAGATGTTCCTCGTGCACATCTCCATCAGTGCCGTACCAGTCTTTCAACATCGCATAGATCAAGTCCCGGTCACAAGGCAACGTCTCTTGAGTCTTTGGGTGCTTGTGATCATGGCTACAACAAAAGCTATCAGAGCTTCGAATGTCAAACTTTTCAAGTTGAGGCTCCAAATCACGAACTTCTTGCAATAGCCCGATCATCCAATAGCCCATCACTGGGAGACTGCAGGCCCACACAATGGCGCCATACCCGAGACTGGAGGTGATGGAAGCGTCCCAAACGTCGGTTCCTGGAACTCCCAACATCAATTCCTGATGTTGGTGCTTTTGCACAAAGAACGCGTTCCAAATGTTCCAAAGCACCAAAATTGTGTTGTGTTTGACAAAGCCAGAAAATGTTGCCGGGAGTGAACCAGCCCTTTGGACCAGTCTCATTCTTCCAAAAAACCTGCCCTTCTTGTGCAAAAAGAGAATCAGCAGGAAGTTTCATAGATGGATCAAACAAAAAGAACAGAAAATCCTGCCAAAGCAACGGCCAGAGTCTTGCCAGGACCACCAACTGATGTATAGTTGAAACACCTGCACGAGGCTCACTTCTACGAAGCAAAGAATAAGAATCCATGACATCGCCACTGGAAAGACAGTCAAGGATTTGTCTGTCTGCTCATTCGCGACACTTGTGCTTTCTTTCCGGAGGAAGGTGGCAACCTCATAGCTACACCAAAGGCGTGTGAAGTAGCGCTTGGACCAGAGAATGGTCAAACTCTGGGACTTGTCCAAGAAGGCAGACAAGCCTAAGATGCCCTTCTCTTTAAGCCTCGGATCATGCTGGGCAATGCAAAGCCTGTCCAGGAAGACAATGAGCGGCCGTCCAAGCAAGCTGCGGAGGCGCTGCCAAAAGCAAAAGAAGAGCCAAAACACGAGCCATGGCACAAGGCTCGTAGTTAATTGGTGTGGTGCCCCATGTGATGGTGCCCAAAGAGCTTCACTTTCCCGCACAAGCCCCACCACGATGGCACAGATTTGCGAGGCCAAGGTTGCAGCTGGCAGGTTGAAAACGAAGAACATGCTCCAAACCTTTGCCGCTCGCGATGTTTTCCAGTCATGGCTGAGAAAGTGATCGTACTTTGGCACTTGGAAGCTCTTCTCATAGTCAGAACTCTTCTGGGACTCGTACTGACCGCCATCAGCACCATGAGTGCTCCAGTGCTTGCCCCATTGGCTCAAGCAAGTGCTCAGACTCACCCCTCGCAGCAGGAAGTCATCCACTTCCAAGGTGAGTTCGCGCGACGCAAGCGACGTCGGAGAAGTCTGGAACACCTTGGATTTGCTGACAGGAACCTAGTAGGACCCAGGTTCCAATAGGAACCTCTTCCCTACAGGAGCATCCGACTCTACAGGTCTCCTCTGGTAGCTTTTGGAGACTTAAATGTTGGAGGTGGTGGCAGAGGATGCTGGTACAAGGGATTCACCCAGCTCGGAAGTATACAAATCACATCAAATCGCTAATATACATTAATTAATATACAAGTCACCCTGCACGGCTGTGTGTCAAAACCACCGAACAATTAATCGACTAGACGACCTAAGACATGGTTAATCTATCGGGTGCCAGAGGTGCCCTGACCCACTGCCGCCATATGAGCGTCGGACAAGACTAAACAGTAAGAAGATGTAAGAAGACTGTTGACTTACAGTATTTCTGTCGGGTACAACCTCTGTAATACAGGTGTCTGGTTGAACCTATCAGCAAAACCAAGACACCTGAGCTTCAACCTCTGTGGTCCCTCCCGCCACGTGAAGGGCACAGTCTGGTGCGCCGCCATGCGTGGCCGCCGCGGGCGCGGGCGGCACGCGCGCGGCGTCCAAGGACCAAGGATCGGGCATTCGGGGTTGAGGTGAAGCGGCTGTGTTCGACTGTGTTTGGTGAAAAGAGAATGAGCCACTCATGCTTATGTGACATAATGTAGAAAAAGGGTGTTAATTAATCCATATTAATGGATATAGCCAGCTACCAGCTGGGGAGTTCATGTCCTTCCAGTTCAGTAGGCATTTAGAAGATCAGCCTATCATTTTGCAGTATCGCTATCAGGCACTACCAAGACGCTCAAAGAATCACTGCGTGCGTGTCCAGTTGCGGACTGCGATCATTATGATGTCCAGAGATCAAAACGGCTGCAGGGTGCGTCACCACGTGTGCGAGACCCAAGAGAATGAGAATGACATGACAACCAGATGTGCGAGACCATGTGTGACAACCAGAAAGTCCAAGAGAATGACATCGTCAACAAGCCACCGTTGAAACAGACAGAATCCACACGACACAGTGTCGAGTGTCGACAGCAAGGGCGCGCAGCCATGACAACAGCCATAGCTTCTCACAATAGCAATCACAAACTCGCTGCCATGGATGCAAACAACAACAACAACAACAACAACAACAACAACAACAAGAACAAGAACAAGAACAGTAACAAGAACAACAACCAACAACCATAACAGCAACATACACAAGCAAGCATGGCACCAGCGAGACGAAGTTAAAATCACAAGAGCAACAGTAAACTTAATCCAAAAACTCCAAAACCGATGTCCCTCAAAGTGACCTCAGGAAAAAATGATGAGAAAGGGCTGCTGGGTGGAGATAGCTTGCAATGTTGCATTCTGTCTCAAATAATATCAAGATTTTGGCTGTGGGTCAAATCCCTGCAACATGAACACAATACCCTACCAAAACCTGGTTCATCCTGGTTTCTCTACCACTGAAATTACTTTTCTGGTTAGGTGTTGACATGTGTTGACCCAGTTCCCAGTTTGGGTGAGTCTTGAACTCCACCGAAAGCTTCTCGGCGAAGCACTGTCGACGGCCGGCAGCGGGGCCTCATTCGACGACGCCTTTGGCCGCCGACACGGTCGGGTCGGGGTCTTCGTCGTTCACCTGGCGGTCAGTCATTTCGAGGGGTGGTTGGACTTCCGAAGATGGTTAAAAGGTGTGAAAGGGGTGCTCACATCTTTAAAAACCACCCCTTCGAAAGAAGATATATAAATCAGTGAATATCCTTTCCAATCTGTTCACCAATCATTCATGTTTTTCACATCTTTTCACCACCCCTCTGATTACCGTAGTTTGGTGAAAAGATTGGAGTCTCGATCAAAACATGTCGGAGGTGTTCGACCAAAACAAAACTCGTCCCACTTGCTTTGTTTCAGTGAACTCGAAAAGAATTTGGGAAGAGAAACATCTGTTTGAGCCTCAAGGACTCTGCTTCTGAGCAGCACTTTGGGTCCGAAAAGAGCGGATCGATGCGATGCTCAAGCAAACCTGGGAGCCACAAAACTCCAAGAGGCCATCAGGCTAAGATGTGTGTTTCCTTCCCTAAAAACCTATAGAAACCACATAGGTACCATATATATATATATTATAGTCGTGCCAGCGCCTGTTCCGCTGGCCCCATCCGGACCGTCCTGTTCCGAAGAGCCTTCCTATTGCTAGCGGAAAGCAAGCTTACCTCCGAAGTAGGGTCTGGGGGCTTTTAAAAGATGTAGATCTGTAGATCTTGAGATGGCTATGGGTCAAAATCATTCAAAATAGGGGTATAGCCCCCAACCATTGGTTTATAATGATAATCCCTACTGAAATGGTAGTTATTGGGGGTATCCTATTTTGACCCATGCCCAGATAAATATTTAACTAAAGTTTGGAGCGCTTTCCCCTCCTTTCCCCTTGGGAGCGCAGAAAAATCGCCCGGACTCCACCGGGGGATGTCGCCTTCTTCTCTGCGCAGGGACTCGAGTCGTCGCCCGGTCTTTTCGGTTTTGGAGTTTCGATTCGGTGGTCCAAGTGGGGCAGTTGGTTCTCTGTGGAAACCCCTAGTCTTGGGGGCCAGAGGTGGTCGGATTTGCTTTGAGGAACCTGATTTGGATTCATTACATAAGGAGATTCACCCAGGCGGAAAATTAAAAGATCACCAGATCCACAAAACCAGGTCCAGTGGTTTCGTATGTTTGGACCGACCCGGTGGTCGCCCCGTTCCACCTCGGAGCTCCGAACGAACCAGGGGGGTGCCGGACCCACATCATGGATTTTCTCAGCTTTTGTCCAATCCTCACCTGGACAGGTGCAGAAGCTTCTAGTTGGCTAAATCAATCATATTGGCAATCAATGCATCTGTCCAACAAGACTGTGCCTTTTCATTCTAGAGCACTCAACTATGATTGGACTGTCCATCGGTGACCCCGGACGCCGAACGGAAGGTGCTTGTACATGTCAGGTATCAGATTATCATCTGACAGTACGTGAGTGCTTCTTCCTGGTGTCCACTTTCAATTCTTTCACAAAATAACATCATATAAAAGCTACCAGCAACACGGATTCCGGGTGTCCATTGACCTCTAAGGGGTGTCCATGTCTACCACCCAACTCCTGCGGGTCCAGGTGTGGTGCTGGTTTGCTCCCCCGTGTTCGTCTCTCCATGAAGCCGTGTTCCGTCCATCCATCGGTTTCGACCCATGTACCGGTCCGCACCGGTCCGGGATCTTCCAACGCAGCTCCATGTCTGCCTTTGTTTGCATCTATAGTACAGCCAAGTGAGGCAAACATGTGTTTCGCATCGTTGGAAGATCCAGGGAGAGAAATAGGACGAAACCACCCATGACGAAAGGCCTCGATCGACGTGACGAGCGGCTTCTTTTCCTAGCTGTCTCTTCGAAGCAGCTCGACGAGTTCGTCGAGCGGCGGCGGCGCGTTTGGTCCACGCCTCGAGCTTGGTCTCCGGCCAGGGATGCCTGCCACAGACCGATGATCGGCTCGAACACGAAAAAGCATGGTCGTTGCATCACGTTTTGCATCCGTCGACCGTAGACCATGGCCGACTGTAGAAGGGTCACACCCAACAGGCTGCGTGTGATGCTGTATTTACACCCGACAGGCCCCTGATTTCTGGCCATCTGAACTCACGGGGTTGTGACCAATGAGAAATCACCTCAGGTGCGGTCGCCACTGCCTTCACCCGTCTATAGCGCTCGGTTCCGAACTAGCCCGTTTCTCGATGTTTCGGCCCATGATGTCCTGTTTTCACGGGGCTCGGTGGTCAGCTGCGGCTCAAAGCCGACCAAGAGCACTCGACTCCTTTCACATCGTAAGTGGTTCTTGTCCGTGCCCCATATCACTCGAAGCAGAAGCCAGAAGCACGGGTGCAACTCGGTCCAAGAGAAAAAATGTGTCACTGTTTATGGCGTCGAAGCTCGCCAGGCGAGAATCATCTCTTTTCAACGTGACCGGTCATCCATGCTTCTCCTGGAAACAATGGCTTCACCACCCCTCAGCCATTTTGATCAATCACCCGAGTGGTTCAAATCCAGACTCTCACACCCAGACACTCTATGGGACTGGCATATTGACGTATATTGACCCCTGAAACCATCCCAGTGTTGGTATATTATATGATATATGTGTCATACATCGAGTGTCTGGGATAGTGAGTCGCCATGGCAACTGCCTTGGCCCTAACCACATCCCAGAGGTGGTTCAGCCATGATCACATCTGCGAAACCTTCGGGCGATCTTTCAACGCACCGAATCAGCTCCACGGTGCGCTCCGTCGGGCGCCGTCGGCATCCGTCGAGGCCGGCCCCCAGATCGAATGTCATCGATATGTACATCAGGGATCATCAGGGGGGGTTGATCTGACCAGAGTCACCCCAAGTAAACCCATCTTCACGCCGCCTGTTCCGCGCATCTTGGCCACCGCGGGTGGCCAAACTCCGTTGCATCTCAACCCGAAAGCGAGCAGAACCCTGCGACCAAGCGGACAGGAAGACGAGTTCTCTTGGGTACGCCCTGGAAGAGACCCACATGGAACCTGAAAGCCACTGAAGACTGAGTTGTAGAGGAACATCATCTTCCAGTCTGGTCCATGCCATCAGGTTCCATGAAGGTCTCTTTCCGGGTGTAGCTCACAGCTTCCATTCACATCAACCCCCCTATCCACTTCCTCCATACTCTGCGCTTTTGCCTACCCGGCGGGGGGTCAGTGGTGTTGCTCGTGGCTCACTTAGGGCGAGGTGAAGCCTCTGCCCAACTCCAAGCCAACGGCTAAGAGGTGAAGTCCTGACTTCAAGAGCGAAACAGCGCAGGTAGGCGCTGAAATACAGTGCTGAACAACAGTGCAGGTAGTTGCGCTAAATTGCGAAAGGCAAGGTTTTTTGGGGGGAAGAGTGCTTTTGGATGTTTTTGGGAGAGGTGTTCGTGCCGAATACGCCGACCCCAGCGTGACTGTTGATAAAAAGACCGGGAACGGATAAGGCTAAGGCTAATCATATAAGTAAAGGCTAAGGCTATACCTCCCCTACCCCGCCGGAGCTTGGCTTAAGTGACGAAAAGGTCGCGAAATTAGCCAAGAATTGTCCAAGATTTGTCCAAGATTTCTCCATCCCAATTGATTCACATCTTGGGGCACCCTCTCCACCCGCGGGGGAAAATAAGCACGGTCCCTAAATGGTCCCGGGCTCGAATCCCGGCCTGGTTGCGGCCTGGTCCCTGCCAGTGCCCTTGGTTTTTCCTAGATGTTGTAACGTTTTCCGCTGGATTTCTAGGACTTTCAAATGTTTTTGTAAGATTTACTCATGCCTTTTTCGAGGGCTTTTCCAGGATTTTCTATGGCTTTTCTAGGAAGTTCTGTGGCTTCCTGAGATTTTCCACTCTTTTTTCTAAGGTGTTTTCGAGGGCTTTTTCTAGAAGTTTCTCCTCTATGCGCTCCGCACGTGCAAGCTTTTTCTGCTCTTTTCTAGTGCTGTGCTCGCATTCTGCAAGTGTGCCGGTGGAGGCTTTTGGGTTCCCAGATTTTCAACGAAAAATGCTAACCCATTTGCCGTGCTCTCTTCTGCCTACTTTGGTGATGCAGTGACAGATCATGTCTGTAGGGGTTCCGTGTTGTTTTTTGGGTTCCCCGATTTTTCAAAAAAAACTCTTAACCCATTAAACCTAGGCCATCCACTTCCCTGGGGGTCGGCGGCTGCCAGGCACTAGCCTGGTTAAATATTCTTTCAATACGACTGTTTCAGAAGGTGAGTTTCACAACGGGACAGATGCGATCTGTATCCATGATATCCATGTGTGGATTGTAAGGGCAAAGCGAGGGCAAAGCGAAGGGAACGAGTCCGGGAACTTCGGTGTTTTAGAATGAGGTTGATTGAGGTCGTGAGACCGGTAGCAAGCTCAGCATCAGGGAACTCTGATTCTGATTGTGCTGCTCCAGTCAGAGCACCACAGACTCGACCTGCAGGATCAACTGGATCAACTCGTGCCCGCGACTTTGGCCAGTGATCTACCCCATCACGGCCCATCACTCTAAGCATATCACCAACTTCCATTGGACACCCCACACACAAGCTCCAGGTCCTTTTTTCTTCCACCCCTACCAGGCCCTACTACCTATCACCTCCTTGCACGCCCACATCGTGCGGGTCCGTCCCCCACCACGTCTCCTGTGATAGGCATCACCCCTTTCAGCGCCAAGCTCCGCAGCTCCTCGGGCAGCGAGGCCAAGGACACCCGCCGCACCACGATGAACTCCCCCTCGTCCAGCTCCTTCCCGGTCGAGCCGACCGCCGAAAAAGGGCGGCGCCGGGAACGCGGAGCGCAGCGAAGATGTTGGAGCGGTTTCTTGGGTTCTGGCGAAGGTTCAATCGTGCAGGAAGGACGGCGGCTTTGGCCAGGCAGGCAGCAGGTCTTGGGAGTTTTGAGGTTGATGGGACATGTGAAGAACAAAGACATGGGTCCTTGGATTTGAGATCGGAACGGCCGTCTCGTGAAAAGCTATGCTCAACCTGCTCAGCTGAGGCTTTTGAGAAACCCTCCAGGACTGCAGGACTTTGAGATCTCTTGAAACCGCCCAAATGTGGAACAACTCTGGACCGGATGGTGCTTCTGCACTGAAGGAAACGGTGAGGCAAACCGTGCCCGAAGTGCTGAGGAAACTGACGTGGTTAAAAAATAAACACCTCAGGACGCTCCAAAAATCTCGTTCAAGCAGAAGTTCACTGCCATGTAAGGGTACAAGTGTGTGGGTAGCCAGTCTGCCAGTCCCCAAAAGCTGCACGAAAACAGTTCAAGTCGGGCTCGATGGGCAGCTGCGGACGTCTGATCAGTCTGATCCGCTATTAAAAGGGATTGCGGACGTCACCGCGACTCCGTTTCAAGGCTCGACCACTCGATGCGACGTCTGTCCCCTCGACATGAAAACCATCGCCCTCACCGATTGGTCACCGCCACCGCTCGACGCCTGCTGAGGCTGTTGGTTTTCCTCGACACGGGCACGGCCGAACGGGACCCATTTCAGAGCAGATGGCACAGGCGGGCACGCATTCAACTAACCTCCCAAAAAAACTTGGTGTTCATTGTAATTTTGTTGATTGAACTATCCCACCAACGTGTTTTTTTCTCGAGAAGCTCTTCTGCCTTTTGATGTGCAAATCTCCAGGCACCAAACAGAACCCCGTCAGCCCTTATATCCATGCAGGTGTCTGAAAAGTTAAAACTCGTTGCTGGCTGAAGTCACCCTTGACATTTCGCTGCCAGATGTCTGACAACTTTGGAGCAAGCAGTCTTTGGGGACGACACAAAAAGAACGATCCACAGAGATCGAAACATGTGCAACTCCCCTGTCGGATGCCGCCATAAGGGGCGTGTGGGTTCTCGTCACACCGAAGAAAAAAAAACGACATCTTCATGCCATCCAAGTAACTGGTTTGTCCATGTCAACGTCTACCACCACCAGCTTCACCTGAGAATCATTGGCAAGAATTGAACATGCAGGAATCCTTGTCAGAGCATTGTGTGTCACGAACCCTTTGGAGGCACAGGGACCACCTGCGTCATCTCAAAAGTCATTTAAGTCGGCACCAAGTGAGTTGGCTGTTTCAAGCCCGAAAATGATCATGGGGACATATATATATACGTACACATACATATATTCTAATATATATATATATAATATGTCTCTTGTGGTATATAAATGAGGCCACCTGAAATACCTTGGTTTGAGATCTGTTCTGCGATAGTGTTTGGTGTTATATGGTGTTATCGTCTACTGCCTAGTGAGTTTGCCGGCGGTCCACAGCGAGAAATTGCCAGATGGAAACTCGTTTTGTAACTCACTGGCACTGGTTAAGAAGGGGGCAGCCAACAGCAGAGTGAACCAGACAGGGGCCGCCCAGTCTGATCCACAACAGCTCAAGCAAGCGATCTTCCTCAAAAACCGAGTTCCGCAATCCACAACTGAGCTGGCGCCAGGACTCCTCTTTTTGACACCAATGATCGACCAATAGTGAGATTGTTTGATCTTTATAGAATAATTTGCTCGCATGCCTTTCCAATCCTTTCCATATCTCAACAATTCTATTCATTGGAGAAAATGCTCCTCTACCTGAGAAACAGGATTCAGGTCACCAGTCATTCAGTGGTACTTGTATGGCTAACAAATCACAAGGGTTGTCAGCGATTGTCATCAACTTGTAGACCTTGTAGCCTGTTGTTGCGGGGATATCATGTGGAAACTGTTTTACCCTGTTTTAACAGGCCCAAAGTCTGCTCCTATATAGTAGGCTCCAAGTGCTTGGCTGTCACATGTTGTTCACTCTCCGCACCACTCGGCCCTCTCTGCTCGGCCCAAGCACTGTCTCATCACTCAGCCCTGGGGACATTGTCAAGGGAATGGAGCTCTTTCCGCGCGCTGTCCCAGTGTAGCCTGGGCATGGTCGCAAAGCTGGGGATGTCGAGTAGACTCGAGCAGCTCGGAATCAGAATGCCAAAAAGTCTACAAGGACGTGTAAATACCCTGGAAGTCGTCTTACTTTGTCTTACTTTGCCCCATTCAAGCAAACGGAGTTCCCTTTGGGGTCACCTAAAATAGTCAACCGGACTCCCAGGGTGTATTGTTGCACGTCTGCAAAAAGCTCGAAGATATGGCAATGGCAAAACACTACGACTCCACAACTTAAGTCGACTTAAGATAAGGATTTCGACCAAGGTCCACTCACTGTAGTTCTCCCACGAGGTCCGCGCCCAATTGTGCCCCCTCCCCATGTTCAAAATGGGCGCTGCCCATGCCCACTGCGATCTAGCATTTGAATGCGGCCACACTCGTCGTAAGTGGTGTTGGTTGGCTTTCGTCTCCCGGTATCGCTAGGGCTCCAGTCCAGTCGTACCTTCGTTTCGTTTCGGTGTTTGGAGTGGATGCTGAACTGCCAAGCTCAGGAGACTGACCACTCCACTCTTGATGAGTATGTCCCGGTATGGTCAGTCGAACTCTTCAAGAGTTTGTAGAGTTCATATGAGGTCATTGGTGGAGAACTTGGCAGTCATAGCCCAAGACCCTTCCGCTTCCGCCCCAAAAAGGGGAGGCCCCCCAAAACATGCAACATGAAGGGGGTTTTCCCCATCGTTTGCGGGAACGTCTCACGCCTCAGCCCCCAAACCGCCGCATCTCTCAACGTCTCCCCCTCCGCGCCCGGCTCGCGGCCTGTCTCTTCCTTCAGCTCCCGGACCGCCGCCTACCGTTTTGGACCAAGGTCCCGGCGTCCGACACGGCCGGTGTCGAAAAAAACGGCACGGTCCAGTGAAAGCTGAGTGTGTCGTCCAAACAGACCATGGGAACCCTGGAAATTCTTGTTAAGTTGCTTGAGTTTAGTGTTTTTGCTCGCAAGAAGTGTTTTGCACCAATGTTATTTGGAAAAAATGAAAGAAGTGTTTTGGTGTTTCCGTGGCCAAGTCTTAAAACACTTGCACAACCAATAACCATTCGACCCTTCCTCTCACCCTCAATACCCTGAAACACTACAGCCATCAGTCACAAATTCCCAAAGCGCAAGCACCAAATGCCGTTTTTTAACAAAAAAATGCCAGCAGTCTCACTGATCCAAAGATCAGCTCTTCTTGAACAGCTTTCGCAGGTCTTCAAACAAACTTCCTACAAAGTGTTTACAAAGTTTTGGATCTTTACAAAAAATTGACAAAGTTTTGGAATTACAACTTTTTTACCGAGTGTTTGCATTACAAAGTTTTAACAAAGTCTACAAAGTTTTTAAAAATAGAAAGAACAAACTTCACAAAGTTTTGGAAACTTACAGTACATTGAATTTTACAAAACTTTGGAACTACGAAGTTTTTACAAAGTATTGAACCTTTGGATATCTGAACAAAGCTTTGGACATTTATCAAACTTTGAACAAGTTTTGGAATTTTACAAAGTTGTTACCAAGTTATTGAGTTTGAACGTTTTTACAAAGCTTTTACAAAAGTTTTTGATGCTTACAAACTTTCTACAAAGTTTCGGATTTTTCAATCTGTGTCAAAACTGTGTAAACTTTATTCTTTGAAAACTTTGCAAAACGTTGTAAACTTTGTAAGAACTTTGTAAACTGTGTAAATACTTTGTAAATTTGTAAAAGCTGTGTAGGCTTTGTAGAAACTTTGGTGAAATTCTAAAACCTTGTAAACTTTCAAAACTCTGCAACAACTGTGTAAAGATTGAAAAAACTTTGCAAACTTTGTCAAAACTTCGTAAACTGTTGTTAAAATTGTAAACTTTTTAAACACTCAAACACTTTAAACTTCGTAAACCTTTGTAAAAACTTTGTACACTTTGTAAAACTGTGTAAAAAACTGCGAAAACTTTGTGTAAAAAATTGTAAAATGCGAAAACTTTGTCAAAACTTTGTAAACACTTGTAAACTTTGTCAAAACTTTGTGAACTTTGTCAAAAAGTTTGTAAACATTGCAAACTTTGTACACTTTGTACTAACATTTTGTAAACTTTGTAAACAACTTTTAGATGTTGTAGGCCTTCGTAAACTCTATTTAAAAAAAGACGTTATAGACTTCGTAACACTTTGCAAACTTTGTAACACGTTTTTAAACTTCGTAAACTTTGTCAAAACATTGTAAACATTTTGAAAGACCTTGTGAACGTTGTGAAAACTTTGTAAACTTTGAACACTTTGTAAATTTCCTAAAAACTTTGTACAAATTGTGAAACTGTACAAACTTTGTAAAAACTTTGTAAAATGTAGAAAGAACCTTTGTAAACTTTGCAAATAAATAAACTATCAAAACTTTGTAATCGTTGTCAAAACTTTGTAAACTTTGTCGAAACTCTGTAAACTTTGCAAGACTTCGTAAACTTGGCAAAATCTTTGTAAACTTTCCAAAATCTTCAAAACTTTGTAAACTTTGTAAAAACTTTGTAAATTTGTGTAACAAAAGGCAAATGTCGCAAACTTTGTCAGAACGTTGTAAACTTTGTAAAAACTTTGTAAACTTTGTAAAAACTGTGTAAACTATGTAAACTTTGTAAAACCTTTGTAAAACTTTGTAAAGTTATGTGAAAGAAGTGTTTTTGCACGATTTTTTGCTTAAAAAGAAGTGTTTTTCATGTCATTTGTTGTAAACATAAGTGTTTTTCACCAGCCATTTGTAAACTTTGTAAAAACTTGGTAAACTTTGTACAAGCTTTGTAAACTTTCAATACTTTGCAAAACTGTGTAAACTTTGTAAAAACTTTGTCAACATTGCAGCAACATTGTAAAACTTTCAATACGTCTTTAACTGATTTTTTAATGGTAAAACCGTTGTAAACTGGGTAAACTTTGGAAATTGTTCAAAACTTTGTAAACTGTGTTAAAAAATTGTAAACTTTGTGAAACTTTGTAAACTTGGTAAACGGTTGTAAAACTTTGCAAACTTCATAAAATCTGTGTAAAACTTTGTAAACTTTGTACCAACTTTGAAAGCTTTGTAAAAACGTAGTGAGCTTGGTATAAACTTGGTAAACTTTGTCAACACTTTGTAGACTTTGTAAAACATTTTTAAACTTTGTCAAACTTTGTAAGCTCTGTCAACCTTTAAACTTGTAAAACTTTGTCAGAACTTGGTAAAACTTTATTAAGACGTTGTAAAACTCGCAAACTGTAAAAAGGTTTACAAACCTTTTACGAAGTTTTGGAGTTCTTCAAATTATTCTTCAAAGTTAGAGCAACGTTTTACACAGTTTTCAGAACGTTTACAAAGTTCTATATTTTTACAAAGTTATACAACGTTTACAAAACTTTCACAAAGTCTTAAGAATTTGTACAAAGTTTGCAACTTTTGCAAAGAGTTGACAGAGTTGTTGAATTACAAACAAATTTACAAAGGTTTACAACGTCTACAAAGCTTTTACCATGGCCGTTCACTCGCAAAAAAACAAGACGTGTTTTATACCCTCTCTTAGTTCTGAACAACCAATTCTTCAGAGGTCCGCAAGGGTCAAAAACACTTCTTCTGCGCTAATTCCCCCGAAACAACGAACGACGGTCCCCAAGCAACTTAACAGAAATTCTTCCTGGACGGTTTTGGGCGCTATCGTCCTGTTACACGAACATGGATGAACATGGGCAGTCCAAAAAGTGGTATAGGAACAGCCAACGACCCCATACGACAGACATGTCACATGAGTCATCCTACAGCACCTCAGAAGGTCATCCAGCAGGTCATACCTGTCCAGGTCATCCAGGGAGTCTTGCTGCTGGGTCGACCTTGGCCAAGTCCTCTGGTTTGACAGCAGCATGAAATCCCTCATTCCACCGGAGAACATTGCCCAGACACGACCTTTGGGACTGCCACAGATGCCGCCTCATGGATCCCCAAACCACCCCTGGCCTGATCGGCATATATGGCAGTCCCATGGAGCGTCTGGGTAGAAGAACACAGCCGGGTCTTTTCCAACGTTCTGGTGACCGAGATTTTTGAGAATTTCAGGAGTTTGAAGGGAAAACCAAACAGGCCTGGGATAAGAGAAAGAAGTCTCGAACTGAAATCCCTGGTTCATTCATGTGGTCATTCCTCCGGAAACCCCGGAGTTTGTTGGGCCATTCCGGAGTCCATCCGAACGAGATGGACGAGTCTTCAGCCCCCAAGAATCAGCCTCAGGGATTGTCATGCCTCATTTTTTTGTGCCGACCCCACCATGTCAAGTCTTCCTAGTCACCCCATGCCTTCGACTAAAGGGTTCTGTTTCACCAAAAGTTCCAGAGTTGGCTGTGGGTGTCATGGCTCCCGAAGACCCTTTCACCCTGGTAGGTTGACCTCCCAGGTAGTCTGGTTTTCGACCCCAGTTCGCCAGTTCTGTTCACTCAAAGGAGGCTTCAAACCTGCAAGACAACTCGTCTCCACGCCTGCTCGGCGGTCTCCCCTTTGTCGATCAAGCCAGCGGGCAGCTCGACCGTGTAGGCGTCCACTGGAGGTCGAAACTGCTGCACCTTCAATCCATTCAGACACCCGAAATCCCCCCACCCGCTTGTGGGTTGATCAGTAGGAAACCCAACTGGAGCGAAGGGCAACGGTGGGGAACACTTAAACCTCTGGTGCCCTTGAGATTACGAGGAATATGCAGCCCCCCTTCCAATACCCACACAATGTGTGCTTTTACTGCAAATTACAGTGTTTTAGTGATTTTTGGGTTTGTCTCTTTAAGTGATACTTTGGGACCGTTTTCCACATGGTTGTTTTGAACACTTTCCAAATTGTGGTACTATATATATATAATATATGTATGTACGCGTATATATGTATATGTGTATATATATATTGTATATGTGCAAAGACATAATCAAAGGAAGTTTGGGGTGCAAAACTTCCGTGTTACGGACTTTCGAAAGCTTTTACTACCACTACTAATAATAGTAATAATACTACTACTAACACTAAAACTAGAACTAAAACTAAAAATACTATTAAAACTAAAACTAGAACTACTTCTACTACTACTACTACCACGACTACGACTACGACTACGACTACTACTAATACTACTACTACTACTACTCCTACTACTACTACCTACTACCTACTACCTACTACCTACTACCTACTACCTACT